GTCATCCCTGGCTCTGTCTGTAATATTGCAGGAGGAGAATGGCACCCATGGTGTTACAGTGCAACAACCTTCCCACTGCATTCTATATTAAAGAAAACTGTACGTTTGTTTTCTTTCTCCTTGAACTTTTCAATTTGTTCCTGCTTCAGCTTTTCACAGCTGTCTTGCAGACCTTTTTTCCTTACTTTCATTTGCCTTCTCAGGTGCTGGTTCACCCACTTACGAAGTAGCTCTTTTCTCTTTCTAGTGTTCGTTTGCTGCCTTGATTCCCTCCTGCCTTTTCTTTTATTAATTTCTTCCAGTCCTGGAAATAGATGGAGGAAATGAAGGAAGGAAGCTATCACAATAACAGTTATAAAATGATGTGGGATATAAATGATAGTATAATGGCATGTACCATGGGGTATGTCAAAGATTCTCCTAGAACTGATGATCTTTCAAAGCTTGGGAGGATGGATTGAAGTTGGTGTGTGCAACGAGTCTTTGGAGACTAAAAGTGGCAACTGAATAGACCCTGAAGGGGACACCTAATAAGAGCAACTTTCTTAAGTGGAAGGGTCAGATTCTTACAACATTTGAATGTGTCTCTCTTAAGGTGATGAAGCAAAAAAGACTTAGGCAGTCCCACCTACCTGGCTATCCAAGGTCCAAGGGAGCCCCTCAGCAGGCTGAGGGTTGTAGTTGAACCTTGGTGCTACCCTGAGACACCAGGTGCTGCTGGTTTGTTAGTCACCCAACAGAGAAGAGTTGAGTTACATGTTCATTATAATAAGGCTGTTTTCCTTGAGACAGTGAGCAATGATCCCCATGGTGGTGCTGTGTGAAGGAGAAGGTCTTGTACTTACGAATTCTTCCTGTGTTCAAGTGGCTTGTGCTCCTCCTGCTTCCTCTTGTCAGCTTTGGCGTTTTATGAGCCCTCCTGAGAGTCTGTTCAAGTTCCTGAACTAATGGAAAACGATCCCCGTCACCTTCCAGTTTGCCCTCCCCGTTCCTTCCTCAGTTCCTTGCCCTGTCTATCTCCCCTTCCTTGCTCCCCCTGCCTGCCCCCCCCATGTTGGAGTATATAGGCTATGTGGTCTCACAAGAGAAGAGAGTGAGGAAGAGTGGGATGGTGGGAGGAAAGAAGAGGTGGTGAGTCAGCTGGCTTTCCCTGTCACTGTAATACATTAGTTAACTGTTTTTATTGCTTTATGGTAGGTAAATTATTTGGTAATGTCCAGCACAGAAGTTGAGCAAAAAGCATGAAACTACTTAATGACTCTACTTATAAAACACACGTCTCTAGTACTCTGGGAGTCAGATATGTCATTGCTGAATGGCTGACATCTATCAACAGCAGACATGTTAACTCACTCTGAATAGTAAACTGATAGTTATGGCTTAGACCCAAGCCTCCCCCTTAACCCCCTTAAAGTTGGTTTTTTTTCCCCTCAATTCTTATTCAAAATAACTTTCTTAATCTTGGAAACAGACTGAGAGTGGTATCGGTGCAAATCTGTAAGTGTAAGCTCTGTCCTAATGTTTTTGCATGAATGTAAGGTATTGAATGTCTTCTGGGGTGCTTTCTGTGGTGGTGGAAGGTTATTTTAGACAGAAAAGTCTAGACAGTTCTTAGGATCTATTGCACGTCTCTACACCTGCCAAAATTTGGGAGGGAGTTTTGTTCAAGTTACACTGCAGTTCCTCAGAAGGGTTTTCATGATATGAATAACACTAACTAGACTAGTTTCTCTCCCCG